GAGTGTTTTGTTCGTGCATTTTACCAAAAAGGGAAGTCGTTTGAACAGATTATGGCAGTCGCCCAGAAGGTGTTTTGTGTTGGTGAGCGGAACATGGGTATATTTGAGGATGACAACATCAACCCTGATATCAAAGAAATTGTGAATGTTGCTTTACAAATCGCGGATGAGAGAGTTTTGATATGTCGAAGTGGTGTATTGCTATTACAACAAGAAGGGACAAACTTTGACGAGTTTTGTAATCGATGCTCTTTATTTCTCGAATTCAACGACTCGACGTCGAACTCTATATTATGTGATAACATCAAGACGTTCACACAAGCTATTCAAAACCACGACTTCAATCAGATGATTCAATGTACTTATATCGCGTTACACTCAATTATAGGACCTGCGTATCATATGATGATAGCCTTTGTACAAATACACACTGTGCTTGGGAAAATCATATTGCTGACATATCGAGAACAACACACGAAATCATATTGGATGACTGTGCAGAGAGTCGACAGGTACTTCCAAAGGTTTATTGGATGGGTGCAGTTACACGGCGTTTTAGAGGGAAAGCAATACGAGAAAAGCTTCTCTGATATCATCACCAACATCAACACACAAATTTCGAAGAGAAGACTCCACTCCCACGACTTGAAAAACTTTGTCAAACAGTTTGGACTGATTTTACACGAACTTTTTATTAAGATCACATTTACACTTGATGACTTGTTGGGGATGAACGAAAGAAATCAGTTGGTCACGGGGATGAAGAAACTGTTTCCTTTAATTTTGGAATCGGACCAATTTGTCAATTACATGCACGAGAACAACTTGGCTCATATGGTTAACCCATTGGAACCATTTAACGCGTGCCATACGCTTCTTCAAAGTTCGCCCAATGAAATGGATGGGAAAACACTCAAATTGGTTAAAAACCACTTGAAAAAGTTGTCCGAGTCGTTGTCGTGTATCTTTAGATCATTTAATGTACCTTCATTGTCTGTGAATACTTGTGTGGACAACACTATAAAAAGTTTACAAGACGAAAACATCACGGAAAGTTATCACAACTTCACGGAGTTCAGAAGATATATGAGACTCTACCCAAGAATGTCTTTACTTGTCAATACATTCTATGCGATCTTCGACGATACTGTTACTACACACGTGCAATTAACGACTTTATTCAACTCATTAAATTCAATTCAAATTTCTCTCGCAAAACCACTGACTCCAACGAACTTTGTGAAGAAGAGAGAGCGCTCTCGTTCAGACCCGTTGACACCACCAATTAGCCCAAAATTGCAAAAGAGTGGGACGTCAATGGAGAACGACACCAACAGCTTTTCATTCACAAATACAATTGATAAACTCGAAGAATTCAAAGACTCGTTTAACGCGCTCTGTTATTCACATTTGAACTTTTGTGGGTACTTTGTGCAGACTATATTAAATGCAGTGAATATGATACGAGGGTTGGACGATACACGTGACACCTCCGTCGATAAATTTTCGGAAGTGTTGGGAAAGATCTTTACATTAGGTGAGAACATCGCTTGGGTATCTTCACCGTCGAAATTGTGTTTGGTAAAGTACTTTGGATATACCGGCGCACAGTTTAAAGCGCTCATTTCGCAAATTAAAGAGTACCTCCAGACGGTATTTAAGGATCTCCCAGATGTGGTACCAAAGACACTCATTCATGCAGTAAAGGAATTTGCACTGAAAACTATCCAGCAACTGTTATTTGCATTTTCATTCAATTTGGACGTTGTGGGATACTTACACAACAAAATCATTAAAACGCAGAACTACGCGTCGGGAGACGCACATATCACAATCCACCCAACAGCAGTCAAAGTCATATTAGAGACTGTTGGCGAGAAAATAGGGAAAGCCGTGTATGATATATTGATGTACTCACCAAATTCGAAGATTGAGATACCCGTGCGGTACGTTTTGAATGTGCAAAAGACGATGATAGATACCGGGAAAGGGAAATTACATAAAATGGTGACGAACATCTCATCTGGACTGATGACGGACCAAATAGCGCTGAAGTCTATTGTGAATAAAGTGCATATCCTCGTCGCGATATTTGTTCAATGCTCACCAACAGAAGAGAACCTCGAGATGATTCAAAACTACTATCACTCTGCTTTCAAGCAAATGAAAGGGTGTCAATTAGTTGATGAAAGAAGAGGAGAGAAGGTGCGAAGTATTGTTCAATTGGTCTATTCTCACATTTCAAAGAACCCCAATGTCATGAGCGATGTCAAGAATGAGACGTTAGAAATACTCAGTCTTGCTATATGGCTTTGTTACTTCTGGAAAGGGTACCAAAATGTTATTGAGAGTAACGTTGCCTTCCAAATCGTCTTGACGAAGTTGCGATTTTTGTTTGATGTGCTCACAGAAGCCGAATTTATCAAGGAAAATCGGGAGAAGGTGTTAAAAGTGCTCAAAGTGATATCACTGAAACTGGCGTTGATGAAAGATCATCCGATGACAAAGAAAGACTTTGTGTTGGTGTCGAGAGATCTTGTGGAAGTCCTCTGTCCATTGTTTACATGTATTATTGTGAAACAGACAACTTTGTTGTCTAACACTGATGAGTCGCTTGTTGTTCTCCAAGAGATAGCGACAAACACGGATATGGAGAGGGCTTTCCAACTCTCTGTGACCTTCATGTCAAAGTTATTGCTCCATATAGCTATGTTTGTCTCCGAATTCCGACAAGAGAACGACCAAATCATCAAATTTTGTGAAGAGAGAGTTACTAATTGCCTGATCTCATCAACCATATTGACCAATTTTGTACAGACTTTATCGAATACAGATAACCATACACATCGCTCACACAAAGTCATGTCTATTATTAATCGAATTATAGAGAACTCAGTCATGATGCATAAGTTCAGAGTGTTAAGAAAGAAGAGAAACATTACAGCCTTCCCAATGACTTTCAAGCCACTGACTCTCCCAAAGCCAAAGAACAATTTCAAAGTCTCGCCATTCTTCAACGAATTGATCAACGCACTCAACAAAGGCAATGCAAAGGCGTTGTTCGACGCAATCAAAAACTTTGTGGAGGCAAATCCGTACGCTTCAATAACGTTTGAGGAGTTGGTACAATACGAAGACGACTCGACTAAGATTGACAAATGCATCAAAAGAGTCGAACTTATGTCACTCTTCAATCGAATCATTTGTTGGGTGCTTATGATTTCACACAACTTCGTTAACTCAGATGATGTCCCACTCATATGTCTTGAATTCGACTCATTCATGGACTGCTCAGAGACGGTAGCTCATTCAAAATAAGTGTTTTAAGTCATTATATATTGTTTATTGGTTAATTCTTTGTTATTATTTTAAGTTTATGATAAATACCTTAATTTTTTATCCAAAATTAATGAAAAACAAAGTTATTTTTTTTGATCTTTTTGTTTTTAAATTTATTTTATACTTTTATTAACAAAAAGAATATGTTATAACTTTGTGATTAATAACTGTTCTTATTGAAGAAATAATGAAAAAAATGTATCACTAATGAACTATAATTAAATTATTAATTATAGTTTTCATTAAATAATATAACTTAAAAATATAGTTATAAAGTTAATAAGAAATAAAAAAAAATGCAACAAAAATGTCTGAATTAATGCCTATAAAACAGGAAAAGTTCTGAGAGAAAGTGGAAGAAGATGTAAATAGGGCAAATGTTTTGTATCTGAAAAGGTAGATGTCGAGGAAGGCAACAGCAACCTGCCGTCAGTGCGGCTGCGAAATATGGGAAGACACGTTAGTTCTACTCTCCCCAACAAACACACGCGATAGTTTGTTTTTCATCTTTTTTAGTTTCTTTAAATTTCGTAATTTTTTAGATACCAAGAATTAACCTTTTGATGCGAAATATCGACTGATCCCTAGTCAAACAGATTCGATCAACCAACGTCGCGATGTCTATGGCAACTTCCTTTGCAGGGAGTAGGCTCATTCGCCAAAAAACTACGAGTCCATCTTTAGCGTCTTCATTACAGATGAGCGATTCCCCTTTACAGTGTCTCAAATACGCACAAAAAGAAAATTTTCCAATAGATCTCCCCATCTGTGACACTTGTTACCAAATTATTAAGGGAGAATATGATAGAGAGGAAGTGAACACTACAAATGGATACTGTGAAGCGCTAAAGATGTTGGATGACCTTGAGGAGTTTGGAAATCTTGTTGAAAAGATCTCCCAAGAAAAAGCGCAGGTTGAGCAACTTCTCGTAGAGATCGCCGAACTCAAAGAACAACAAGACGACCTGAATCAACAACTTTTCTTTCTTCAACAAATCGAGATGCATGAAAAGCTCGAGGAAAAGATGCACAACAAGTTGCTTAAAGAGATAGTCCACACCTCAATGGACTCATCAATACGGTTTTTACGCCTTGACATCAAACACGAAAGTGGTATCACCAATTCTTTAATGGAGAACGCGTGGAACTCCATCTACAAGATCGAATGGACGGAGAATGGCGTCCTGTTCTGCAACCTTAACATAGCTTTGGACTATCAAAAAGTTTGCTTATCAATCCTTTCTTTCCACCATATTCAATCCTTTCACTCATTCTACTCCACATTAATAGTTACTTTTATTAAAACGATACTATGTTGATGTTTAAAATATATTTATAATATATTTTATTATCAATCAACAATAACCCACAAACTATACATATATAATAAGATAAACTATTTAAACAACTATAATAACGCCAAGAAGAAATACGAGAACGTTGCGCTGTGCTTCAAGCTGATTATTAAACAATGTATCTTCCTGTGTCAAATGCTTCGTACATCATTAAAGCAATGTTCTTTAGTGAATGTATATTGTCAAGTGGGGCTAACAAAAGAGACATTGTCATACACCGACTTTTCAGTTCGGTGTGTCAAGTCACAAAAACTGTTCAACAACTCACTGCGGAAACTTTCTACAGTGGTCGAAGAGCTTGTTGTGATTGTAATGACACAATTTCCTGTCTACAAACCACTTTATAAAGTCGAGAACTTCTTGGTCAACGGGTACTCAATTCAATGTACCTCACCAAATTGGCAAAATGCAGTGAAATATTTTTTGGCTGCTCTCCGACACCTCAGAGACTTTGTTCTTAAAGTTGTAAATTAATTATTTCATTGGTTTGTTTTATTAGTAGTAATAGTTTATTGATTGACATTTTCAGGATTTTCCAAAATAATTATTGCCGAAAATGTGGTATTATAACGTACGAATTTATAAGAGAAAATGATCATTTTGGTTATGAAATGGTGACGTGGGTAATTAGCTTTGTGGTTTTGGAAACCTCTGGACATTTTGTTGGTAAGTTAATAATGAATAATAAATCTTTAATATTTTTTAAATTAATAAATTATTAATTAAATTGTACACTATTTTTAACTTTTATTTAATTAAATAAAGTAATATTGGTTTTAAATCTTTCAAGGAAATTATGAAAAAATCAAAAATCCTTGAATATTTAAAATTTAATTTTTATTAAAATGAATTTTTTAATATTAAATCGAATAACACTTAAATAAAAAAATCATTTTCTTATTTAATTCGGGATTTAAAAAATAGTTTATTATAAATAGTTTTATAGTATTGACAAATAATATATCAATAAATTATTAATTATAACTAAAATTATTATAAATAAACTTTATTTTATATACAGATAGTAAAAAATTTGTGTGTCAAGAATAAATTGGGTGTCAGATTGATTTTGAGTTATTTAATGGTTTTTCATATTTTTTTTGGTAGGGAAAAAAATAAAAAAAAAAACGAAACCCATTTTTTTACATTAACTAATCCCTAATTTATTTGACACCCAATTTATTTCTGACACCCTATTTTTCTACTATCTGTATATACAATCAACTACTTCTTAAATTAACATACAATTTTTTATTCTATTAACACTTTTTTAATAAACAAATTAATTTTATTACTATAATTTTATAATAATACAACAAGAACTCGTTAATTACCATTGAAAAAATATATCATTCTATTCTAAATTAATTTGTTATTTAATAATCAACTAATCATATTTGAGAATGGAATATCTCAAAACAGTTTAAAGTACCTCAAACTTGAAATTCAAATGTCGTTCAAACCATTAAAAATCACCAAGTTAGAGCCAGTGTTTATGATGTCAATAATTCCCCATTTCATCTCATTGAATATGTTGATGCGGTTCCATCAAGTCTCACGGAACTGTGGGGAGTCGATATCGCGGTTGAAAGTGAATCCGTGTTATCAGGAGTTGTCACTAGAAACGATTCTTCAAAACGACCACTCGATTCACATCAGAAAAGAGTTGCAGATCTTCACAGGGATCGACTCGTTGCACACGGACATCAACACTTTACAACAACTTCCGCCCGAGTTGTTGTCGAATGTGAAGTTGTTTGAGATCTCATTCATTCAGAAACAAACACCATCGTCATATCCGATATGGGAGATCATTAAAGACAGAGTGTCACGTTTGATCATAGACGCACAAATCATCGCACTCATCGACTTGACTGCTCTTCCCAATTTGAGACGACTTGAAATCAAAGCGGGGCGTGTTGCGTTAAATGAGAACTTACCAATCAGACAAATCGAGAACTTGCAAACACTCGTCATATTTTGCGATGGTAACCTCTACAAAAACTACTTCGACCTCTTCGAACAATTCGTTTGCTCAAAACTTAGAGTATTGTATAAACTAAATTGGTTACAAGCTAGTGACTTGGATGATATTCATCAATTGAAGCCTAGAGATATGGTCGGAATATTCTTAAACGATTTACCTGGTGTCGTGGACGACTACATCTCACCCAAACTAGTCTTGTTGTACTTCGCAAAGAAGGAATTCCGTATTCCAATCGATTTCTTCATCGACAAAAGACTGAATGTGTTACTCAAACAATATCATCCATCTGTTCTCGACATCCGAGGGGACGTCGACAATACTGAAAGTTGTGTTGTTGACTTACACGAGGAACACCAATTGGAAGAGATCACTTTTAACTTTGTGAATTGTAAGGAAAAAATCGCCGTTGCGTTACCTAAAGAGTTGAAGAAGTTAATTATTAATAAGGGAAGTTTCTTAAAGGAAGGTGGACTGTTACAGTTGGCCGATACACAAGTTCCTAAGGATTTGTATGGCGCGTTTGGAGATGCTGTTCCGAATTAATTCGTTTATTCAAGTACTTCATGTTGGAATTCTTTAAACAATTTTTCGTTCGGAAAAAAATCAAAATCAGTGTTTTTTATAGGAGATTTTAATTTTTGGGTGAACCATTTTGTGATTTTGAATTAAAAAAATTTTATTGAGTCGACACTATTCAATACACAGTTTTTTGGTATTAATCGAACACTACTGTCATATTCAAAATATTTAAAGTTATACGGAGTAACAAATTGATATAAAGAAGTGGTTGGCATTTTCACATCTATTAGAAAAAAGGTGATTTTTTGTATATGATGAAAAAATCAATCAATTTTAGTTAAAATTTTATAACATAAAAAACTATATTTTAATTAATAAAAATTTTAATTTGTTTTATAATATTTATAATATGTTTTATTATTTTTTTATGTGTTCTCATACTTTTTATCTTCTTTTTATTCCGAGATAATCCCGAGTTTTCTAAAAGAAAAGAACTTTCAACACAAACAAATGTTTTAAGAAGAATTGCAACGGATCACTAAAGTCTTCAAAAAGAGAAAAAAAAATGATGAAGTAAAACTTTAAAAATCAGAGCAGATGGAGGCGATAGGGATGGAAACAAAACGCGTCCAACAGATCAAATTTACTTTAATGTCGACGGAAGACATCAAGAAAATGGCAGTGTTGGAGGTAGTGAAAGCGGAAGAAGTTGATGATGGGAAACCAGTTGAGGGAGGATTGAGTGATCCTCGAATGGGGCCATTTGATAAAGGCGATGAATGTAAGACGTGTCGATGCACCCGTAGTGATTGTCCTGGGCATTTTGGATACATTCAATTATATGCGCCCGTGTATAATCCCGTCTATGTGAAGTACATTCTTAAAGTCCTGAAGTGTGTTTGTCCAAGTTGTCATCGACTGTACTGCCATGACGACGAACGACTCAATTCACTCAAATCCAAAGGAGAAGAACGGTTGAAGGATGTCTATGATATTATTGATAAAGACTATATCCAATGCGGGAAGAGGAAAGATAAGAAAGGGGCGGAGAAGCAACAACAACACGAGGAAGAGGATCGCATCTGTCATTCGGCGAAAGTCGATTACGAGCTCCCGAAGTCGAAGTTAGAAAACAAATTGGAGATCCGGTACAAAGGCTCGAAAGCAGAAGAGAGCAAATTCATGCCAAGAGATGCTTTGAATATATTGAAGGAGATGACTGACGAGGATGTGAAGATATTAGGGTTCGACCCAAAATATTCCCATCCGAAGTTCATGGTGTTTGAAGTCTTTCCCGTTGCGCCACCGGCGGTACGACCCCAAGCTGTCTCTGATAAAGGGAGTCGGAATAACAAAGATGACTTAACTGTGATGTACGAGAACATTATACGAGCGAATGAAGAGCTTAAAAACGAGCAGTCGAAGGTCAGTGGTATTAATAGATATGACGAAATCTTCAAGGAAGTCCAGACGATCTGTGCGAAGGTGTGTTTGAAGAACGTCAAGGATTTGCCTGATAATCCGTCGAAGAAGAAGTACAAAAGCATTGAAGACCGACTGTCTGGGAAACAAGGAAGAATGCGACTGAACTTGATGGGGAAGCGTGTTGACTTTTCTGCGAGAACAGTCATTTCCCCGGACCCTAACTTGTCTATGGATGAGGTTGGAGTGCCCACGGGGATTGCAAAGATATTAACATTTCCAGAAGTGGTCACGCGATATAACATGGACAAATTACAATCACTAGTGAATGCTGGAATGAACAGCTACCCTGGTGCTTTCATGTTACAACGGAAGAATGGAGAGACATTTCGGTTGAATGGGGGGGATAAGATATTGAACATTGGAGATGTGGTCCACCGCTTTTTGATGGATGGGGATTACGTCATTTTCAATCGACAGCCGTCACTGCATCGTATGTCTATGATGGGGCACCGAGCAAGGGTACTGCCGTTCTCGACGTTCAGAATGAACTTGTGCGACACGACGCCGTATAATGCGGATTTTGATGGTGATGAAATGAATTTGCACATTCCACAGACGCTTGAAGCGCGTGCGGAGATATCTGTGTTGATGATGACTCCGACCCAGATTATTACACCTGAGAAGAACTGCCCGATTATGGGTATTGTCCAAGATACACAATGTGGGAGTTATATTATTACGAAGAGACAGACGTTCATCGAGAAGTTGATTTTTTACAACATCTTGCAATGGTTGGACAAGCTGAATGTGACTGTTCCGATACCAGCGATCCTCAAACCAAAACCGTTATGGACGGGGAAACAAGTCTTCACGTTGATTCTGCCACCGATCAATTATGAAAATGGCGATTACTCGATAGGAACACTTTTAAAGAAGGGGCCGTGCTATGACGACTCGAAGGTGTACATACACAAAGGCATTTTAGTCACGGGGTACCTCTGCAATTCGTCAGGGTTTGGGAAGAATCAAAGTGGGATTGTCCACTCGATCTACAAAGATGTTGGGATGGAAGCGACGAAGATCTTTTTCAATCAGACGCAAGCAACGGTGAACAGTTGGATGTTGACGAGAGGGTTTACTGTTGGTCTCGGGGACATTGTAGTGAAACAAGACGTCCATGATCGGATTCGAGAAGCGGTGAAGAAGTCGATTCAGAACTCTGAGAAGTACTTAGACCACAAACATGATGATGAGATTGAACCTGTTGCTGGACAAACGATGTTCCAGAATTTGGAGACGAAGTTGAGTCTGTTGTTGTCGAATGTGAAGACGGAGTGTGATAAGATCACGAAAGACGCGTTGAAGAAGGACAACAATTTACTGCAAATGGTCGACTCGGGGTCGAAAGGAAGTAATTCGAACATCTCGCAGATGGTCGCCTTTGTCGGGAAACAAGAAATTAACAATCAGCGTATCCCCTTTGGGTTCTACAAGCGAACGTTACCACACTACTGGAAGGAGGACTACGGCTTTGTCACGCGTGGCTTCTGTGAGAACAGTTTTGTGATGGGTCTTTCGCCACAAGAAGTCTTCTTCCATGCTATGGCAGGCCGACAGGGTATTATTGATACAGCTATTAAGACATCAGAGACGGGGTATATTCAAAGAAGACTTGTCAAGAGTATGGAGGATGTCCAATGTAAGTACGACAGAACCGTTCGCCGAACGACGGGAGATATGGTGGAGTTTATGTATGGGTCTGACGGCGTTGATGCGTTGATGTGCGAGTCACAAAAGTTCCCTTATTGTCTTGATGTGAATAAGATGAATGACGCGAGTAAGACTGTGGAGCAGGTAGACGAGCAGAATATGAAGAAGTTGTACCAGTGGGATTTCAGTGACCCGAATCTTAAGAACATAGTCAGCGAAGATGTTTACATGGTACTCTTAAGTGACGAATGCCTCGAGGCGACAAGGAAAGAGTATGACAATGTGTTAAATGAGCGCGCTGAATTGTATGCGGCATCGCGACAGATGATCGGAGTGAAGCCGGAGGATGTCCATGTGGTAGTCCACTTTGATAGACAGATCTCAAATGTGATTGCGACGTCGTTCAATCCGTTTGATAAAGGCGTTGATTTAGATCCGAAGTATGTCATTGAACAGGAAAACAATTTGGTGAAGCGCTTGGCGGAAGTTGGCGTGTCGAAGACGCCGGATGCCGAAGACAAAGAACGTGCGATTGATGCTTTGCGCCCATTCTCGTATCTGATGCATGCCAAATTAAGCTCAAAACAGTGCATTTTGGGGTATCGGATGTGTAAAGCTGCGTTTGACGACTTAATGAAGCGGATGGAGAACATCTATTTACACTCGCGAGTGAATCCTGGAGAGATGATTGGGTCTATTGCTGCGCAAAGTATTGGAGCGCCGGCGACACAAATGACGTTGAACACATTCCATCACGCTGGTACTTCTGAAGCGACGGTCACGGAAGGTGTCCCACGTCTGAAAGAACTTTTGAATATGTCGAAGATGCCTAAAACGCCATCGATGACGGTGTGGTTGACTGTTGATCCTGATGAGAAGAAGAGTGTGTTAGATAAAGAATTGAACACGAAGATACCATTTACATTGTTAAAGGATCTTGTCGAGAAGGTAGAGATTTGGTTTGATCCGAATTTGAGGGAGTCGGTGGTGGAAGAAGATCGAGAGTTTCTTGCCGAGTATGCGGAGATTTCTGACATCAATCAAGAGAAGTACAGCAAGTGGACGATTCGTATGTTGTTGGGGTACAATAAAATAGTTGCGATGGGGATTGATGTTGATAACGACAACTTGAAGAAGAGAGTCTCCGACAAGTTTCCGAGCTGTTTGGTCATTCAGTCGGACTCCAATCACGTAGTCGACGGGAGTGTGAAGATTGTATTGTACATCCGATTCCCGGACTCGGACGTTGCGCGGTGCGATTCGATAGAGAACTTGACACGGGCACTTTCATCGGATAGAGAGCCTGTTGCGTTCCATAAGAAGATGATTGACCAGATCTTGAATGATGTGCAGATCTCAGGTGTTGTTGGGATATCGAAGATCATTATACGAGATAAGCCGACGCCGTTCTTAGTGATTGATCCCGAGACGAAGTTGTTACATGAGAAGAAACAGTGGGTGATCTTTACTGAAGGGTCGAATATGGTGGGATTGACGCAATTTGAAGAAGTTGATTTCACAAAGACGGTGACGAATAATGTGTATGAAGTGTATCAGTTCTTGGGGATTGAAGCTGGTCGGATTCAATTAGCGTCGGAATTCATCAAGTGTTTGTCTGGGTCGTATGTGAATTATAGACACTTGGGCCTCCTTGCGGATGTCATGACACACACGGGAAGAGTCGAGCCGGTCAATCGAATGGGGTTGTCCCGTTCACATGCTGGTGTTATTACACGAGCATCGTTTGAACAGACGTTAGAGCAATTCCGACGTGCTGCGGCGTTTGGGGAGTCTGATATGTTGAATGGAGTGTCACAGAATGTATTAATGGGACAACGGACTATCGTAGGGACTGGTGCGTTCACTGTCTTAATTGATGTTGAGAAGTTACAACGCCTGAATGTTGATGCCGAAGTCTTAGATGATTCGGAAGAGAGTGAAGACGTGAAGGCGTGGGATGGACTTATGATGTCTCCTATTAAACAGAAAGCGTCTGTCCAATTCTCACCAAGTCGTTCACAATTGCCAAATAAGACTCAAATGGGTTATCAAAGTCCAATTTATAACACTCAGATGGGTCAAGGCTTTAAAACATCCCCACGGCCTATGGTAACACCAGCTATGCCCGTCCAAACTAATACTTCGTCGTTCAATAAATTCGCATCCCCGTCACTCGGTGGCGCGTCTCCTTATATCATTCAAAACGCTTCACCTATTCTCTTTGGAGCAGCTCAAGCTTCCCCACTCTTTAGAAGCGGTCCGTCTCCATATCAAATGTCAAGCCCTCAAAACTTCGCTTCACCTAACTTTGCGTCCCCTCAACTGTCAAGACCTACCCCTCCATTCACACAATTCAGTCCACCTAACGATGACAAAAGTGAGTGTTTCGTGTCTATTGTTGTACTGTTCGGTTGAATGGTATTTTTATTATCTCTTTACTATTCTTTTTGTGGTGATAAAAATTATTATATTTAAATTATAAAATTTTATAATTTATCAGATTTTTTTTGGAAATTATTTAATACTATTTAATATACTATTTAATACTACTATTTGATTATACGACCCATCAGACAATTTTTTTTGAATAAATTGGTTTCAATAAATTATTTTTTTTTATAATTTTTTTAATAATAAACTTTTCATTATTTTAACTTAACGAATAGGTCAAATCAATTCAACAAATTTAGAAACTTTTTTTTTGTATAGTTATAGTAAAACAATTATTAATTATTAGTTTTTCTGTATATAAAAAAGATATAGTAATTTGAATTATTTTTCTAATTTATTGAGCGTATGCATATTTTGAGGAACTTCGATAAAACCAATCAAATGCCTGTTGCAAATCTAAGTCTTGTGTTTGAGATATGTTCAGCAGTGATACCCGTTGTTCTGAATTAATTAAGCTAAAGACTAAGTGTTGTTCCGTGACTTGACTTTTTGATTTGATTTTACCGTCGTTGATTATTAATTGAACGATTGTGACATATCCATCTTCTCCAAATAACGCAAAGGAGGGATTTTGGGTTTCGCCCTTGTCGAGCTGCGCAACGCGTTGGACTTTTGTGGCAGGCGAAAATTTACAGATGGATTCCCCGTCACAGAGTGTCGAGTAATTTGTTGTCTTTGTTCTGTCAATCAAAATAAAGCGTACAGACTGTTGCGAGAGTAAAACAAGGATATCATCTTCTCGAGAGAAGAGAAGTTGTCTGATATTGGTTTGGGTGTTTCCCCGATCAACGACGTGGATCAGCGAAATTGCCTTTTCCGTTTTGTGGTGCACGCGAAAAACGCGTACACTCTTTCCGTATTGGTCTGCCACTGCTAGAAAGTTGCCGCTGGGACTTAGACTAACAATTTTTATCGGAGCATATGCCGACGCCGTAAACCTGCAAACGACTTGTTTCCTTGTAATGTCAAAGATCTCTAAATACCCCTTCGTATAATTCATAAACATCGACAAGACGCTACTACTAACAACATCTTCTAATACTGAAGATTCATTGGTGGGATATATTAAGTAATGCGAATCTAGCGCAACGCTATCAACACCACACACATCGCCGGTACAGTCAAACAAATGCTGGATATTTCGAAATTTTTTTATGGTTTCTTTTATAGTAAAAGAACTATCACTTGTAGTTTCAACAGCACTTTGGGTTGAAGTGTCGCAGGAATCATCCTCAAGACTGTAGAGACGGACACCTTGCTTGAAACCGAATAGGAGAAAATTGTTGAACACTTTGAATGACTCGAGCCCGGGAACTTCCGGTTGTATTGAGACGGCAAAACATCGGTTGGGTAATTCTTTCGATTCGTCGTCATCCACTCCAACACAACTCAAGTGATGCTGCTCGTTCAGCAAAAAAATCTTGAGAGGATAAGAAGTTGAAACTGCCACGTCACACAGTACACCACAGTAATTGTTCATTGTAAAAAACTCCTCAAATTTATTGGAACGAAAAATGAAGATTGAGAGAATGAAAGGACTGGTAGAACGAGCAACAACAAATCCAATAAAATTGCCAGAAGGAGTTGGCACAATGACATTTTTCACAAACATTTTTTCAGTACTACGTGTTCGAGTTAAAAAGGTTGCTGTGTCTATTTGGATGTCTGACATTTTTTGAGTTAAACAGTTCAACAATACTAAAGATAAAATCATTATTACATCATTTACTTACATAATAATCAAATAGTTTGTATATAATTATTTTTTATAATATACCATTATTTTTTAAAATCATTAACTTATAGTTAATATTATTACAATTATTATTATTGTTCAACGTCAAATAAAAACAAAGTTAAATATTTCCAATTGAAATTTATGTGTGTTTTTTTATTTTTTATTTAAACTTTAATGAAAAAAAATGTATCAGATTAAAAAAAGGAGATTGAGAGAGAGATAATCAAAATGGAATGAATTATAAGAAGAGGGAGGAATTTTTTGGGAGAGTTGAGTTTTAAATGGACACACTTGAAAAAATCAAGGTGTTGTACCAACAATCGCTTGCAGAGGAAAACTGGATCCGTGCGACTGTTGTTAAAACTAAGGAAAATCTAGCACTAATCAATTTGTACATGAGTTACCCAACAGAGTTTATTACACTGAAAGAACAAACCTTTGCCCAGGTCACAAACCTTCTTACAGATTCGTTGAGACTAATAGAAGACGTCACGGATTTCTCGAACACCTTAAAACAGAAATCGAATGATGTGGAATTGCATTTGATCAAAGAAATTGAGGAGCTCAAAAGCGCATTGGAACAAAAGAAATTAAAGCAAGACCAAGCATCCGACGCACATCTCTTTGAAGTTGTTGAGCTACAAGGCGAGTTGGAAGAACAAGAGAAAATATCCAACGACTTACAAACACGGATTGAGCACGTTCTCTTCGAGGTCGAGAAGAAAAGTGAACTAATTGAAACACTGCGCAAAGAGGTGCTTGAACTCAAATCAAAACAAGAAGAGCAATTCAGACAGATTCTGTGCTCGACAGTTGGGAATGGGCAACCCCTTGCCTCGAAACAACCGCCAAAAAGGCGAAAGAAGCGCACAGTTCTTTTTCCGTCCTTGGCAGAAAAGTGATTCACATACATGTTTGTGGCTTTTATTTGTCTTAATGTAATTTATGGTGTTCATATTTTTTGATATCGTAAAACACAACACATTTTTTAAGATTCTGATGAAACTATATGATGTGATATCTGAAACCATAACACATGATATTTGTGTTTTAAAATCATATTTTTTAAAAATAAAAAAAAGAATGGAACTAAAAATGTTATACATCAAACCTAATGAAATCGACCCCGAAACTGAAACTAAAGCCAGAGGACATAGGATTCATCATTGCTCCGACATTCCACGTGAAAAGCATAAATTTGAATGAGTCGTTGATACAACGCACTTCCAAATGCTATGCTCTGTCTATTAATATCACGTTTCCGCCGTTCGATTATGATTCGTACGATATACACCAGAGCAAGGTACTTCGCTACAAACAACTTTACGAATCAACAACTCGCAAACACCGCATGCAAGTCCTTATTGTCGACAAATCATTACACGTGATTCATCCCTCTTCGGTTGGTTTGAAGATCAACGGGTATACCACTTTGACAGATGTGTTTGGGAAGATCCCAACGCGTGGCACACCATTCATAGAGGGTATCGATATCACAGATTATTTAGTGAAAGGAAACAATGTGGTGACCGTCGAGACGTCATACCCGGATACATATTGTGTGATCTATGAAGGCATTGCGATGACCATCACTCAGACTATGCAACGAATATTACGTACATTGCCGAAGGAATATTATTCCCAACCGCTTGACATTGATTTGAATAACAACAACGAAGACGAAGAAGAAGATGTGGTCGAGGAGCAACAAGTTCTTAGTTTAAGATGTCCGATATCGTTCACACGTATTAAGATACCCGTACGAGGGAAGAGGTGCACCCACCAACGAACATTTGATCTCAAAAGTTTCTTACAAACAGCACAAAAGGCGGGGTACTACTCGTGTCCTCTCTGTTCTGAGTCGATACAACCAATTGACTTAGTCATTGACTTGCAGATGGAACACATCATCAAAGATTTGACTGGACAACCGGACATAGAAGAAGTCATTGTACTTCCTGATGGGAAAGTTAAACCGAAAGAAGCGGAGAAGTTAGAAAGCGACGACGACGATGAAGAGAAGAAACTGTTAGAAAAAGGGCGGGAGAGAAGAACCAAGAGAGACGAAGAGATGAAAAGCACGTATGGTACAAATTATGGTACGTTCAATACATCACATCCACAACAAAATTTCGAGGAAGGTGGATATAACCCATTTTATCAGTACGGAGTACCTGTGCCGTATGGGCAACAAATTAACATCACAAACACACAACAATACTTCTTACCAACTCAATATCAATTACCACCTTATCAACGATATCAAGACAATTTACCCCCTCTATCACCTCCACAACAACAAAGTTTACCTCCTGGAAGGTATGAACAATTCAATGATGGGAGATACTCGATACCAAACGGAATATCTCCACAACGAATGTATCAAAGATTCCCTCTGAATAATCTCACACAACAAAATGTTGTGAATACTCAAACACCACAAAACGTACCGAGTGATCGACATGTAAACAGAAGACTGTTAATTCTACCACAACAAAGAACCACTCAAACACAGACAACAACAAGAACGAGAACAAACACTCAAGTGGAGTTGAACGGAATTGGGTCGAAAGAATCACCAATTTGCTTATAAAGGTATCAACGGAAAAATAATAATTAACGAGGTTTTTTGTGTGTAATTTGATTTCTTTAACGAGCTTTTTTATTCGAATTATTATTTTTATGGTATTATTTTAAAGGAGTTATGGTATTCAATTAACGAGTTCTATTTTTAACAAGGAAAAAACACATTAAATTAAAGTTACTACAGATAGTAGAAAATTTGTGTGTCAAGAATAAATTGGGTGTCAGATTGATTTTGAGTTATTTAATGGTTTTTTATATTTTTTTTGGTAGGGAAAAAAATAAAAAAAAACGAAACCCATTTTTTTACATTAACTAATCCCTAATTTATTTGACACCCTATTTTTCTACTATCTGTATTTTAAAAAAAACAGTGTCAGGTAATTTGAATATAAATAGCTGTTTAAAAGTAACTCAAAAAAATTGTCGTTTTTTATTCGTTTTAAACTCTAGTTAAAAATGGTTTAATATAACTATATTAACAGTACTATGGTTTTTCAAACAAGTGTCAAAGAAGATTTTTGAATAAAAATATAATGGACGTTTTTGATTTCAACACCACTGTTGAAATTCATATTTAAATAAGAACTAAAAAATGAAGTCATATGGTTTGTTTTTGTTTGAGTTTGATACATTTTATGTGACAAATTAGGACGACGCTGTGGGAGACACATTAAGACTGAAAGTGATTGTTGTTGGAGAACCCTCTTCTGGTAAGACTAGCACAATACACAAGTTTTGCGATGGCGTTTTTGATGATAATTACCAGCCAACGGTTTGGTTTTATTTAGAAGAATGAATATAGTTATGTTAATAGAATTATATAGTTTTATTGACACAAAGATTGGGGTTGAGTTTTCGAGTAAATTTATCACGATCAATGGGAAGGAATGTGAGTTACGTTTGTTTCTCGACCGAGTTGAGTGTATTTGATGATGTGAATAATCCGATGACTGACATGTAGGGCTGTGTTTGTTGTTTTCTATTGGATGAGGGAAATAGTAGTTTATTAATTAGGAAACTAAAAACTTCAAGTAACAGAACAGGGGATATAGCTGGGCAAGATCATTACAGTGGGATGTCGAGGGTGTATTATTCTGGGAGTTTAGGAGCACTAATTATGTGTGATGTCACGAAAATGAATACCGTCGAAGGGTCGTTGAAGTGGAAGCATAGTATAGACGATTGCATCTTTGTGAACAATGAAAAGATCCCAGTGCTTTTAGTCGGCAACAAAAGTGATTTATTAGATGCGGCTGCAATGGACACAATGGCGACGAAACTGAAGGACGTTGCTGCTAATAATGGGTTTAAAGGAATGCTTCTGGTCTCTGCAAAAACAGGATATAACCTCGACGAAACGATGAATAATATTGCTACACTCATCATCTCACAATTCGGTGATATGCTTTATAAGGAAAAGGCAGAGAGTGACGAGAACACACTCGACTTGCTTCCCAAACAACAAAACGAGAAAAAGTGTTGCTAGTGTTTTCAATCGTCTTTGGTGTGTTTTGGCTTTGTCTTCTAATTCATTCGGTTTTTATTTACGCATTATTTTTTTATTTTTAGTCGTAATTTAACGAGTTTATTATTTATTATGTATTTGTTATTTTTATATGAATTGTATTGTCAATTTATGAAAATGGCATTCTTCGAATTCGTTAATTATTGTATATATATTAAATAAAAAAATATGTTAATTTAATAGTTCTAGTTTTATCAAAACCAAATTTAATATAAATTAATATAACAAATAAACTATACTCATTAGTTGTATATAACCAGAATTTTTAAAGACATTTATTAATAGATAAATTAAAAAAAGCTATAATTACTAAAAATGAAAAATAATTCATTTCTAAAAAGATAATAGTATAAATACTATAATTTAATTATATTTTATACCAAATTTTTCCAATAAAAAACAAAACTGTAGAAAAAACGAAAAATCAGAAAAATGCTTCCTTCATACATCTCAACATTTTTAGCGGACGACGTTACACAAAGTCCATGGGAAGAAATTAAAAATACGATAGACCCTCCTTTATTTTGTATGGAAAGTTATACTAAACACGTCCAGAACATGTACTCTCTTCACACCACATCTTTATTACATCACACATACAACGCATTGCTCTCGTTCTTTAAAACCCCGTCTAACTTTTTTAGTTCCCAACCATCCATTACTAGCTATGAACAAACGAAGAGTAACGGATGTATCTACACTCTCAAAACAAACACTTCATTCGCACATTTGGTCACAGTCAATGTCTTCTCACAACTCATTCAGATATCGGACGACGAGTTTGTGTTTTGCTTAACTCCTTTGTCGGGGGATGATGTGACTCCTGTGGCTCAAAGTAATGACACGTTCAATGAGAATACCATTCCTCTCGACCCAATCGACTCTTTCGATACATCTTTTATCCAACAAACCGTTCAACTCACAGAACACGCTTTCAAACAAAATCTAGTAATACAAACATTGAATGCTCCAAAAACAAGTGGACCTTTCCTCGACCAAAACTATTCCAAACCATCAACGAAAGGCTCAGAGGAAGAATCAAAGTCTGGTCTTACTCCAAAGACTGGGACTGTGCACTATTACCACGTCAAAAAGCTTCGGGATGGAATACAATTTGAGTGTCACTTTGCACCCGTCGAAGTGAAGAGCAACACTTTGTTGATCAATTACATCAACTTCCAGAGAAGAGTTGTCTATCACTTGAATGAATATTTACTACATTCGACACCCACAACAGAAATAGCGGAGATGTTCAGACAGTTCCACAAGTACTTGAATCTGCCTCTTGAGAACTACACCGTGATCCATCGAAATAGTCAATTCACCGTTTACGCAAATTACGACAAATCAGAACTTGTCATCTACGGCGGTGCAACGTTCGCGTGTGACATCCAAAACTTGGTGAAGGTGTTTGCAAAGAACGACGGACTTGCATTCTTGTTCCCAGGCTCTAAAGACATCTCCAAGACTAAACACGTGAGGTGCACACATCGAGAAAGCCCCTATTTTGGCGAGAAGAACGTTTGTACTGATTGTATCACAGAAACCCTCATTTTGGAGGGAAATTTCTTTGTTGCAACGCAGTCCACAAATAAAATGGTGTTATGCAAGAACTCACATGAGGAGGGACAGACATTTTCAGTTGTCATGGCGGCCGAACAAATTGAATGGATCGGCGAAAAAGCACAGAGTGTGTATTACTACCATTTTTTCACTCCACAATTCAGAAACATGACAGTTAAAGCGTATAAGGAGTATATCAACATCATCTCCTCAGCTATACTGTCAACACGAATAGGAATACAATTTGGCTGTGCACTGCCCGATCCTGAAATGTGGTTCACAACCGCGACAATCCCTTTTTTTGACATCTTGCGGCTCGCCATCTTCATGAGTGTCCAAGTCAAGAAGGACAAACCTTTCCTCTATGTCCCCCTCGAGCTCCCTAAAGTACCACAAACACCTCTTACCACCACCACGACTGCTTTTGAAATGCGATGTCGCTTCAGTTACGTCTCATTCACCGATTTAGACGAGCGGGTAGTGACAAAAGTGATGTCTTATTTGCCTCTCGAGTCTGTCTGTGCTTTAATGAAGACTTCTCGGAAATATTTTGGGATAGGGTATAAGGCGAAGTACCTGTGGAAAACGTTTTATGAGGTGCACTGTAGTCCGCAGACCTTCAAGAAGTGGACGTCGCAGAAAATGCCGCACCAGAAAATTGATTACTTTCTAGCTGTCGGTATCTCCCGTAAAACGTCTTCGTTGTGGACGCGGCGGCCGGTCTCGATTCGGAAGATGAAATTGTGCGAACAGAAAATAGATTGGATCCATCGGACTGAAAGTGGAGAAAGTGCTATTATTTCGCGGTCGGGGTTTTGTTGTAAGTTATATCCAGACTTTTCGATGAAGTATCGAGCGTTTGGGAATAGTGAAGTGAGTGGGAGTTGTTCAGAGCAGAATGACATCTATGTTGGGTTTGGGAATGGACGAGTCCGATTCTATTGGAACAACGACCCGAAGGATTTCAGAGAGATCAACACGTTGAAGTTCCAGAGGATCGAGTTTGCGCCGGAGAAGAAGATGATAGGGTGGAATGAACGAAGTAATGTCGTCTATTTCTGTGACTTGAATTTGAATAAGACGGTGTGTTTATTTAAAGCGCAAAGGAAGAGAATTACACATGCGATGGAAGTTGAAAGGGGGGTCATAGTCACGTCGTCGACGGATGGGAGTTACTGGGGATTTGATTGGCGAATGGAGAATAAAGTCTTTGAGAGTCAAGAAATGCTTGAAGGGATCGACGTGTTTGATTCGTTTGATAATTATTTGGTTGGGGGAAGTAGTGATGGGACGGTGTGGATGTATGACTGGAGGAAATTGGATAAGTGCCTTGACCGGACTACATCCCCGGGTAAAATTAATCAAGTCAAAGTATGGAATAGAAAGATAGTTGTTTGTTCGGAAGACAGGTCGGTCTATTCATTGGAATGTTGTAAAAATTGGATGGGAAAAATGAGTGTTGTGTATAGTTTGGATTCCCCCGTCACGGCTTTGTACTTCGATGACGTGTATCTCCTCACTGCTACGAATAATGGGTGTATGTATACTTCTATTTTTAAGTAAGTGTTTGTTGTATTAGTTAAAGAACTATCACTTTTCTAGAATAAAAACTTCTCATTCTCAAATCATTTGGAAGATTGCAAAATTGAAAATTTGTTGTTTCGTGAAAATAATATTCTTGTATTATTTTATTACTATTTATATAGTAAGAAATTATTATAAAACATATTGTATTATAAAAATGGGTTGTAACTATAATGTTTGATCTAATCATATTAATAGAAGAATTCAACATTTTTTGAATAATTATAAGTTAATTGTTTTGCGAGTTATAATGTTAATTTATAACAAATGTTATTTTATGGTTTTATTAACTGTATTTTAAATCAAACATTAATTATGATCAATAATAATAAACATTAATATTGAATAATTAATGCAAATTAATTACAAAATAGTTTGAATTATAATTTGGAATAGTAAAATAATTTTTTATTGTTTGTGTTGATTGGTTAAACTTGGAATTTTCAAATCGAGTTCCATTCGATTTGTTTCTAAAAAATACAGCAAAACTCAGTTTATGGTAATTAATTAATTTATATTACTTCGAATCCACTCAATCAAAACTATTTTATAATAATTTTAAATCTATTTATTATTAGTTTATAGATTCGTGTTATACTAATCTATTTTTACATTCTAAATGGTATTCCTCGAAAAAAGTTGCGCTTTTCTCCTCTTCTTTTTCGTTTTAGGGTTCCACTGACAAAACCTCCCTCACAAAAAACGCCGTATTTAGTTTTTTGTTCTTCTAAATTCTTCCAACTAAGGATGTCTTAAAAAAAATTCACAAGTCGGGCATTTGTATATTTTTGGTAACAAATTAATGTTAAAAAACCTTATTTTAAAAGTTTTTTGCGGACTTTGCCGACTTTTGTTTAACACATCAAAAAAATATAAGAAAACTCATTTGGTTTAAAAAACTAAATTTAATTGTAAATTAACTACATACAACTAGTAAAAAGAAGACCCCAATGAATGGCTGTTTTGTGATGTCTTTGAGTGCTATTTAAGCCGAGAAAAAAGAACTGTTTCATTCATTATGATCAGCTTTGTTCGAGTGACCCGCTCTAACGACCCCATGTTGGACAATTTAGTCAACTTACTCTACAATGAGTTTGAAGTCCATCAATTGCGCCCATTGAAACAGTTGAAAAACGTTATTGACACGCAGCCCAACCATTACTTTACAGCCATTGTTTTCAATAAGAAGGTTGTTGGTGTAATTGTCTATTGGAAGTTATTGAACTCGTTTTTCTATATCGAGCACTTTGCAGTCTTCTCTGAATTCCGTGGAGAGAAAATAGGTCAAAAAGTGATGGATCACATTAATAACACAATAGGTGGACTCTGGTTACTTGAAATTGATCCCATTGGTGACGTTGTACATGACAGACTTCGAAAGTGGTATGAGAAGAATAAGTTCACTGTCACTAAATTGAACCACAAACAACCCCCTTATGTCGCAAATGAAGGAACTACTCCCCTTCATATCATGACTAATAAACCAACCAACAAATTGGATTTGTATCTCAGTACAATTACTAAAGAAGTGTATCAAGTTGGTTATAAATTTACTAGAGAATAGATCGTGTTATAATATATTGTGTCTGCTTGAGTGTTGTTGTTTTTAATGAGGTACATTTCTTTCAATAATTAATAGTTAATTTAATAATATAAATATTAAAACCAATAAGAAATGGTTTCTTTTACTTGTCTTTGTTTTCAATTGTTCACAAATATTATTCAAACAAACAACTTCTTATTAAAAAATTGAACTAATTGTTTTAAAAATTTTTTGAACAATTTATTAAAAAATTTCACATCAAATTGCAACCCAAAACAGTTCAAATTAACTTAAATGTAGTCAGTAAAGTCTTTGTCTATTACTTCTATTTTTAAATCACTGTTTCTTATTGATTTTTCTTTATCTTTAAGAGCTTTTAATGTTATACTTGATTTGAAAAAAATCTCTCCTTTAAGAAAAGAAGTCGGTCCACATCTTATCGTCAAATAACTGATCCGGTTTAATGTCATCTCCTTGAGTTTTGAATCTCCAAAGTCCAATATCATTCCTGAAGTGGTTTTCACCTCGACAGTATCAAATTTGAATTTGTCGAAATTGAGAGTTTTGATGTCTTCTATTTTGGTGCAAAGAGCTTTTTGGTAAAACATCACATCTTGAATTATTAATGTTTTGTTCTTTAATACTATCTTCCGTTGACTGAACTCAATTACTTTTCCCCCAAAGTATACATTCAATTTTTCATTTGCAACAACACTAAATTGTTCAAGGCCTTCTAAATCAACATAATCACTTGTATTGACCATATCATTAGTCTTTTTGTCATCCACCCAAAAACACTCCAATGAAGATCTCTTAGCTTCAAACCTTTTTAAAACATTTTTATAAAGAATAACGCCTTGGACTGTGACATTTTTTATTATGAACGTTTCAAGTTTTGAGGTATTCATCTCAACTCTAATTTCACTCTTCATTCCTCTTAAATTTCTCAATTCAACAAATTTGATGTTCTTATTCAATTTTAATGTCCCAGCAAACGCATTGATCCGAATGTCATACACATTGGGGTATTGGTCACAATCAAATATTTCTAATCCTTTGGCTTCAATTTTAAGTACTTGTAAGAAGCCTTTGTGAATTACTGATGTTATCTCATTATAGCACATCTCGTTATATGTCTGTGCTATGTATATCCCCTTCTTACTCACTATCTCCATCCCTTCTGTACTTCTGTGAATGATGTTCGTCACTATTTGAAAGTTGTTGTACGTCTTTAACTTATTGATGACATCCAACTGCACTGAAAACATCGTTTCAAACTCCTCATCTTTTTGTAACCCTGAGTGCTTTTTCCAAGAAGAATACACCAATAATTTATAACGAACATTTTCTTTAAGAATGGTGTTACCTGAATCACATGCAATTGACATCTTATTGAAAAACTGTTTGCAAAAGATGTCGATTTCAAATGTGACTTTGTGAAGTGTTTGTAAAGTCAGAATTTTAAAGATTGAATCACAAACTGTGACATCATTCACCTTTGCATTTAAAGAGATGCTTGAAAAAGTTATTTCATGTAATTGGGAATAAAAAGAAAGTGCCTTTGTCATGTTGATAATGGGCAAGTATTTGATACGCATCTTCCGGATTTTGGGGGGAAACCATCGAGTTGAAAAAATGGCGTCTTTTTTGTTATTATCAATTTCAGTACCAAATGATAACATTGAGGGATTCTTATGCCAATAACCTATCTCAAAAAGTCGAAGTTTTTCGCTCTGAAGACTTGATAGATGTCGAACGTGAAGCTACATAAAATGTCTCCATTAGAGGAAATTGGATTGATATTTTTGGAAATGTGTGGTGAGAGGATAAGTTGTATGAATTGATGTATAAAGTTGATACTACTGACTCACATTTTTTGTTTATTGTACGAAAATTGAAGACATCAAATAGCGTATCTAGATATAGTACGACATTCTTTAGAAATATTGGTTCAAGTATTATAGCCATGGATTTGATATTTAATATTTGAAAGTATCATAATAAAAATTATGTAATATTTTTAATTGAGTATTACAATTAAAAATATTTTCATGTTATTATAATTATTAGACTAAAGAGAAAGGACGGACATGGGGACGAAGGACGGGAATATAGGCCGAAGGACGTCCTTTGTGGTTTAGGGACGTCCTCCCGCTATAAAGGACGTCCTCCTGTGTATATGGTGTCCTTTCTATTATTTTCGTGTTTTCGGCATTTTTAAAACTATATAATGAGTTATAATATTACTATGAATTTACTATTATAAAATATAATTATTTCCAAAAATAAATTTAATCAAAGACAAATTTTAAACAACAAGTAATTTCGTTATAAATTAATGGTTTTTATAAAAAATGCAAATTTAATTAGTTTTTCAAAGAAAACTGAATGGTAAAATGAAAAAAAAATGATAATTTTTTATAAACCATTAATATATAACAAAATTACTTTTTAAATAGTTTTTGTCTTTGAATTAATTTATTTTTGGAAATAATTATATTTTTTGATTGTATATTTATAATAAAAATATACTTTGTTATATAGTTTCGATAATGAATAAAAAATGCCGCGGACACGAAAATAATAGAAAGGACACCATATACACAGGAGGACGTCCTTTATAGCGGGAGGACGT